GCACGCAGCAATGAATTTTGTTCACTCAAATTCAGCTTTTCTTCAAAATAAATTTCTCCTCAAAATACAACACTTGCACCTACAAACCTTTTTTTACATGCGCTCAAATTTCTTTTTACATGCGCTCAGAATAGTGGCACAAAAATAACACCATAGAAAGGAACTTAAAGCTTAAGTGTGGAAAATCTTTCTTTACTTCTACTTTCTATGGACAGAATAAAGGTGTACAAGCATGCACCATGTGTATATTGTAGTAACAAAATTCAGTGTAGGTTTGAAGTAACTGGGTCAAATGAGAGACAAGCCATGATTTAAATGTCAACCTACACATTTTTCAATATTTTTGTTCTGTAACTGTAAATTTAAAACACAAGTGTGGGGAAAAAACAAAATACAAGTAAATATGAATGTTTTGTACACGTTTCCAAATTTTATTCTAGAAGCACTGACATTCTTGCAACATATTTAACTTGATACCATGAGTCATACTGTCAGAATCCTCGAAGCACAGGCCAAGATGGAGGAATGTTACCCTCTTTAGCCCTAGCTAATCAATCACCCAAAGACCCAGACATTTATAATTTATTTGAAAATCATATATTTGGCCTTGCTTACCCTAATAGAAAAAAAAACGCACACACAAAGTTTAATTTGAGAGACTAACATTTTGGTTTTATTTTATACTAGAAAGGCTAAAACCCTGGTCGAGGTGTTGTACCCCATTCCCACCTACACACAACTTGACTAATTGATCAAGTTGATTCCAAGAATAATGGCAGTGCTCCCCTTGTTTATGTAACCCAATATGTGTCTGTATTTCTGAATAGGCATAAGTGACTGGCAGTGGAACCACTCAGGGCCACGAAAAGGTAATCCCGTAGCAGAAATAGCAGAAATCCCTAATTATTTAAGCATAACCTCTGCAAAACATTAGTGGCCAGTTTTAATTCATGTTGTACCATGTCACCTAAGTACAAAGAGATTTTTTTTCTTGAAGCACTGGTACAGTTGAGGCTATTCTCATGTGTAGATAATAGATATTTTGCTAATGTAAGGTTAAATTTCATGAAGCAGGATCAGTAGATCAATTAAATTAACCACAAAAAGGACCATAGCACTCGGGGTAGATGTGCACTCCTTTACATTTCATCACAGGCCATCTGCTATTACCGAGCTGTCATTTCTGTCTGGACTTCGAAATTTAGATTTTCTTTTTGAGAACGGATCACAAATGACCCAGCAATGTGCCAATTATCTGTGGGCAAGAGTGAAACTAGTCAGTGATCCTAAGCTTACCTAGGCCTGCTAATTACTGGTCTAAGACCTACACTGCAGTGTGTGTCCAACCTTAGGAATATGCAGAACTTAAGATGTCCTTAATATGTTTCTGTTTAAATTTTTTAATTATAACATTAACAATAATTAACTGGTTAGTCTATTGATCCTGCTTTTTGAATTTACCCCTCAGGTGAGTTGACGGTAGGAGAGATTTTAAATAACTCCTTCCAAGTCCTAATTGACAACTCTCATAAAGGTAGGTTTCTTCAAATATATTACCACAGTTGACACTATGTGATAATGATGTATTGATATTTTCAGTCACCCACAGCCGAGGAGCTGAGAGGGCTGTTGTCTCCTTGTTTTGAAAGGGTAATATGTATCTATAAGGCTGACCAGCCCTAAATGTGTTTTTTGTTTGTTTGTTTTTTTCTTTTCTAATACAGATGCCAACAACTTACACAACAGCTCTGCGGCTACGACACCTGTCACCAACTCTGCAGTCAACACCTCTGCTGTGAACCGCAGTGTCAATTCCAGCAATGCTGTTACCATCACAGCTCAGATTAATACTGCCACCAGCACCGTTAACATTACATCGCCAGTTAACCTGCAGCACCCTGTCACCATCACTGGCCCTGTGAACCTGACCTCTGTTGGAATCCCTACAACAGCACACATGAATATTGCCCACCCGGTAGCTATCACCACTCCTATGCCCATGAATATAACTGGGCCACTCAATATTGCTATGAGGCCCATGGAGTCTATGCCTTTTCTTTCCCAGGTTCTGCCATCCTCCCCTCCTTGGTAGATCTTTTGTTCCTCATGTAACAGTTAGTGATGTTTTAACTGCCTAATAACGGACAAAGCCATTAGATATTAGTAAAATCTCCCTCTAAATGAGTTGATAGTGTACTGGGCATAAAAAGGTGAACTAATGTGTCACGTAGATGGTAACCAATGATTGTTACTTACAGAGGTCAGCATTATTACAACATTATGTGGTAATTATGAATTTTATTTTTAGTTAATACAGAAAATACATATTTTTGTAACTTAGCAATGGTCAGAAATTAATTAATCAGAGTACTACCATGTACATAAATTGTTCTTTTATAGAATATATATGCATTTTGTTTTATGCATTTTACCTTAGGACATTAGTAGAAATGTTTTAATAGGGGAAGACTTTGTTGATTGTGAGTTGTTGGGTTTTTTTTGTTGTTTTGTTTTGGGTTTTGTTTTTTTTGTTTTTTTGTTTTTTGTTTGTTTTTTTGCCTAATTCAGTGAACCTGAAAAACCACAGTCCTACATCATATTGATGCAAAATCTGTAAATCCAATAATATGTCCAATAATATTGATAAATAGTTGTCAAACCTATTAGTTGGATCCCTGAAGGCAGAGCCAGTCTTACATGTCCATGTTTTAAAGAGCTGTCATTGCTTGCTTTCAACGTCACGAATGAGCTCTCATGCTCAGGTAATTCCAATTTGTTACATCGTCATCATTTAACCAGATAACATGTAATTTCATAGTTTGGGAGAAGTGGAAATAGGTTTAAGCCAAAGAATTTTATAAATGTAATTTTGCCCATGAATGATATTTTCAAAAAGAAGGGGGGAATCTTTTAACCAGTATGGAGATTTTTTTTTTTTCATCTGAAAACCAGAGAGAATAAATTGTTGCCTTTAAAGAGACTAACACAGTAGATGCTAACGTGTCCTGGTCATCACACGATTACGCTCAAATGTTTCCAGGACCCAGTATATTGCTCAAATATGAATTCTACTTTTTGTACCATTTTAATGTTTGATAATGCTAATATTGATGTATTAGTCAATTGTATTACTCACAGTTGATCATGTGAACAGTTTTAATTACACCTATAGACTCAAACCAAAAAGTAGGTTCTTTCACTTAAACATGGTTTTAAATTATTGGGCAGTTATTACACTTCCAGCTGTTCCATGTTAAACTACTTTGTATTTGCATTTTACCCTTTTACAAATATGTATAATTTTACTGTAATGGTTGACATTGAGCAAACTCAGTGCAGGAGTCTTTACCGTAAACGCAATATACTGTAGGGAGGCAAACCATTTAAGATCGTTATTGTCAAGTTATTTGACAAGACACTGTTGATCTTATCAGAGTGAGAAGTAAAAATTATATTGTGCAACTGGACATCTTAAAATATGGATAATGTGTGATGCTATACTGATATTTAGGAAATGTCTTAATATTTGTGTTGCTTCTTCTTTTCTTTTTTTGTCCTTTTTAGCTGATTTTTATTTTAGTGGACTTCTCATTTTATATTTGATATGTTTTAAAGTTAAAACAAGATATGTTTATTTGGAGTATATTTTGATAAATTTTGCGCCCCTCCACAGTAGAATTTCTACAGTTAAAGTTGCTGGAAGCACAATCATTCCTTACTGCTGGAGACAAGTTTGGAGGGGTTGTATTATTTTGTATTTGAACGTGACAGGTGAAAGTATTGCTTCCTGAAAAATGTCACTTAGGCTTTGCCTGTTAAAATCCTGGTATTATCAAAAGTCAAACATTAAATTTAGCTTTTTTAAAGACTTTTTAAACGTGAAAGCCAAAAGAGAAGACATTAAATTTAAGTGGCGCAGTCCCAAAGTTTCTGTGGTGTGTTCAGTTGGTTAGATTTTTAATTTAGCAGATAGTGGATCCCATCACTGTCCATCATTTGTGTCAACATGTCAGACATTTTACACTGACCTTTTTTCTTTTTCTTTCCTTTCAAACCAATAATGTAAAACACTATTTTATTGCCTTTACCCATGGTAGATAAAGCCTTTCTATTAACTACATGTTATTGGTGCAAAAACTTCATCAACACTGATGTGGCCGTCCAGCGTGGAGAGAAAGGAGAATAAGGAGTCTTATACATAAGCCTGGTGTCACTTTATTTTTATTATGAGAAAAATCCCACTAAAAAGGAAAACATGTTTTACTTGCTGCAGTTTTTATACAGCTGCAAATGTCCAAAAAACATTTGGACGCACTCACAATTTTTTAAATTTTACCCTTTGTACACCATCTCACTGGATTTTAAGACAAATAATTAGGATGTGATTAAAATGCAGACTTTTTTTACATACATTCTGTATTAACTATTATGAATTACAGCAGCTTTTTTTACAGGCCCCAATTAGACAGCTGACAAACAGTTTCATGGCAAAGTGACACCTCTTCTTTGATTATTTTTAGCTGGTAAATTATCTGGACATCATTACAAATGTTGAATTTGCATGTGGTAGTTATTAACCTCAATATGAGTGGGAGTCAAACCATTGGTTACACTCAAGAAAAAGAAGACCAGGTTAGAAAACATTTTGGTTTTGTCTTGGACAAATAAAACCAATGTTATCATTTACCAGAATAGTAGGAAGAGATCCGAAGCGTACTACATAATTTGTCAAACAAAGCCTTGGCACGGGCATGTACAGCTTCCACAAATGTTTATTGATGACGTGGCTTCTGATAGGATTAGTAGGATGAATTCTGAAGTGTACAACTATACTTTCTGTTTCTATTAATGCAAATAGATAAGGTTGCAAGGTAGACTGCAAAACCAGCCCAAGAGAAAAAGAAGTGAGATATGTTCATTGGCCAAACCAGTCACCTGGTGTCAATTCATATTTTCAGTTAGTAAAGACAAAACTGGAGACCTAGGCAGATGTCCACATCTTGGTGATGTCCATGGGTTGAAGACTTCCAGCAGTCATTGACTGCAAACGATAATCATTTTTATTACCGTTGCTAAACATTAGTAAACAGATAAAGCAATACTTTTGCTAAACTATTGACTTAAGGCAGAAAATGTGCATCTTAATCACATCTTGGTTATTTTTTTAATTATATTGGTTTTTAATTTTTTGGTTTCAAAATTAAAATTGCCAGTGTGGTGCTTTAAGCGCAACATAATAAAAATGTTATTCAAATGCTTGTGGATTTAACTATACCTTATCCCTCCAATACGGAATACTGAGTGTTGTCTGTCATCTAAGATTACCAAAATAGGAAAATGGTCATAGTACAAAGTTATCTACATGTTGTCCACTCCAAATGGTGCTACTAATTAGAGCTTGAACGTGAAGCCATTAATTACTTCTAGAATAATCCCCAGTGCAATAGTATAGTAGGACATTAGGTCTTGCTTGTATTTCCATTAGCCGTGGCACAGTGTTAGTAATATCAAACTATAGCAGCACAGATCAAACCTGTCAGCAGAGAAATGTTCTCGATGTTTGTAATTTGTTTAGGAAAGTTATCTGTTGCTAGAAAGAGAGAAATAAACTACAGCCTTATTCTGTGTAAAAGCAGAGTTTTCTCTGTAGGTTTCATATGCTTCCTTATTTTATTTATTTTATTGTTGTTGTTATTGTTTTCTTGTCACTCTAGCAACCTAGATAATTGGGATAATTAATAAAGAACATTTGCCTAGGTGTAAACAAAAGATCAAGATGCTAAAGGATGGGTGTTGTGTTACTGATGTTATTACTTAGTGGTTTTGACAATTTGCAACCATGTGCATGCAGCATCCACTAAGTTGCCCTTAGAAGTTACAGGCTCATGACTCTAAATGTTTACATACCTTTTCCTGCTGTTTCAGCCATTTAATTTTCATTTGTGCCCCCTTCAGTTGAGACTTGTGAGCTTGCACATATTCTGCTGCTCTCTTGGGCAGGAATAGGTTTACAGAGCACATTACATCTGGAGATGTCTGCTTGATTGTTTGAAAGGGTGAACATGTTTCCTGGCTGTGAGTGTCTTGAGCAACATGAATATACAGTTTTTTGATACTTGGATTTTGTAGTTTTTCACCCTTTTACAGTGTAGGAACTCCGTAGCACCTGCAGTAAATGGTAAGATATAGGGACTACAGGACAATGGTACATAGAGGGGCATTCCAGTTTGGTGTAACTGGACAATGACTGTCAGTCCCACTTCACCTGGCTCATCTGTATGTTGTCAACTCAGTTGTTTAGCTCATTAATTTCATTTTATGTATGCTAACAGTCCACAAGGGAAGGTGCTTTTAATTTTAAATGGCATTATTTGTTGAAAATATATTTCCTGGTTCTTTTGTTTGTTTGTTTGTTTGTTTGTTTTTATGTTGCCTGTGGATGATGAGTTGATTAGAAGGTAATTAGAAGGGTGAAGACTTTTTATAAAAACACTAAAAAAAACAAACATACAGGATGAAAGCTTAGTATGTGGTGTCATTTGTCCTTCTTTAGTGGCTGGTTAACAAGTGTGCCTAAAATACTTTACAAGACTTTTCTCACACATTGATACTTCCTCTTCTAGTTAAGCTGTGCAAGAGAATAGCCTTGTGAAGGAATCCTTCATTAGTTCAAATGGCCTAGGGTCCTGCATGGCCAGTTTTTGGCTTTGTTCTTTAAAGCTAACAATAATGAACTTAATGTTTTCTACTAAAGGACTAATCTTGAAACACAAAGTGATTGATCTTTAAAAGCGCATGCTCCTGTTAACGTATCATTGACATTTCTCTGTGTGGTTTCACTTTGTAATCCAGCCTAATATGAAAAACAATTTGTTTGGCCAAATAATTATTTGAGTTTTTTGTTTTTTGGTGAAGTTTGTAATTTGGCAGATGTGAAGGCAAATGAATGTATATCTTTGTATAAACCATTTAGTTCAGAAGACATGCTAGTTATGACACACAAGGAAAAAAAACTTTTATAAATCCTTTTTGTATTAGAACATTAACAGTGGTAATTTTTGTATATATGAAGATTAGGCTTTCTGATTAGCAGAAAGGTAAAACATTCCTACATTTTTTTAAATGTATGTCCATTGAGAATAATTATGTAAACATATTTCCAATGTTTTATGTGCCTTTTATTTTAATTTGTTTAAATAAAAGAAAAGAATCAAACTTGTTTGTGGACCGTCTGATACGGAGGAATTTCAGTACTCATTCAAGATAAATTTCTGGAGTGATGCAGATCATCTAGATGCGAGAAGTTGTAGTGACTAATAATTTTTGTTGCTTTTACTAGATTTAGTTGAGATTTCTGAAAGGTTATCTTTGTCGAAGCCCACAACACAAATAAATAGCAGAAAATGAGTAGATGGAGTCGCTGATCTTTTGCACTGGAGTGGCTGCTTTGAACTCCCGCTAATCCTAACCCACCAGACAGGTGTCTGCAGTCATCATAATTTTGCCAACATGAAACT